ACACTCACAACGCTAATATTAATAATATAAATCCATTGACAACATCTTAACAAACTACCAATCAAAAGAATTTACATTTATCATTTCATATTAATATTTATTCCAGGTTTAATGTTCGTATTATATTTCTCCCAAGTGTTGCACAGCAATGATTTTTGTATCTACAAAGCAATGGAATAGTCCAACTACCCCTTGTTTTGATTAACTGTCACGTAGGCGTGTATGTAACTTTCTTGCGTCTACAACGGTCATTGGAGTGTCAAGGGAAAGCAAAGTCCCTCGGTAATTGCCTACCGGGTGCTGGAGTTAGGTGTATGTAAATATCTTGCGCTCGCTGTAACAGATAGTAGAGTTTGTATCATGATCTATTTACATCTCAGCTTGATCTTAGATTATCGCAATTGATTCTATGATCGTGTTATGATACCGCCCATTAATGAATGTACATAATAATGAAAATTACAAATGTAAAATACAAGACTCACATTTTTTTCACTGTAATATTAGATTACAAGTCAGACTTATGTAAAAGCAGTCAAACGTGCTGAAGAAAGTCAGACCATCGGTAAGTATAAGTATATATTTATATAAGCCCAAATGCATGTATTATGGCATTCAGTTATAAAATATTATGTAGTGTGGTATTTACAATAATCAGACATTGTTATAACGTTTTAGGCTTGAGTATGTTCATTCACCAAAATACAATACGAATATTGACACGGTCGAAATTAAATCAAACAAAAGCACATTTCGTCTAATGTTTTTGAACGTGTGTTATATTGCCATTTAGAAAGCAGCCAGTGTGTGGCTTCCGGGGATCCACATCTTACTACCTTTGACCAAAAACATTATACAGTTGGTGCTGAATGTACGTACGTCTTATCTAAAATCAATGTCGGTGAACAAACGACTTCAATTAAAGCGCTTGTAGTGCCGTTTGCTGTTGGTTTTGGTGTGCATGAGTTGGAGATCTCACAGTTGGGAGATGTACTACATGTTTATCGCAATAGCGGTTCTGAAGTTCCAGTTGATGTTCAAGTAAGTATTATACCTTGAAAAAGTGTGAACGAACGGATAAAATGAAGGGAATATTATAATCGGTGAATCTTCTATAGCGGTTTTACAACTCCAATAACACGAGACAAATGGCCACCACGCAGCCCATAAAGTATAAAACACCAAAGGACGGACTAATCATTTACTTCGTGTTGCCATTATCATTCAACTGCCCTGCTTACTTTTGTATAAAGATGTGTTTTATAATTACTTCATTCTCGAAAATTATTCTTTGACAGATTGCATGCCTATTGATTTTATTTACACAACATGCAGGGTAGCGCCCACATGTGATAACTTGAATTATCTAAATGCACAATATGTGAATGTTATGTTAACAATGAAACCGAACCCCGAAACACGTGTCCACGTAATGTAATAATTTAAATGTACACCCGAGTAGTTTGTATATTGTATAACACAAATATTGACACGGGCCAAGGTCGATATACAGATTTGTTTGCCGTATCGCAAGATCTCCCCTTCCCAAATATTCAATGACAACATCAAGAAGGTTTTCCATTCAAAAGCAACTGTTTCATCACATCAATGGTTCGCGAATATTCGGAATCATAGTCTCTTTAATGATTTTCTATGTCACATTTAAGATTGTTGTAGGTATCAACTAGGCACGATGCTGATACATAACACGAGCACACCAGCAATCATGAACAGCACACTACACTGGGGGTCAACAGGACGCTGATCGGACAATATAACATGATCATATTTCCAGTTAAAAAACAATTTAATGAAACCCACATGCATGTCGGACACACAACGAGTAATGGGGTCACCTTAATGAAATAAATTAAAGCACTAAACGTCAGTATGCCACGTCAACAAATCTGGAATGCCGGGCGAAATTCAAGTAATCAGTGCTTTGCTACCCACACGCTACGGCGACTACAATCGGAACGACCGATATAATGGTGTTGTTCGATGATTATCTCCTGGCTACAAGTATTCAAATCGAACATAACTCGGAATAATAATAATGTAATAATAATAATGTTTATTTGTCATAGATTACATAAAAGAATAACAATACAACAATAAATAATAACTAATAAATATTAATAAATAATAAATAATAATAATATTAATCTATGGCTGGGAAACAGA